TTTTTAAAAAAAATATATTTTTTATATTGATAAATAAGAAAGAGTACAATATAAAATAATTCTTAACAGATAAATAATCACAATAATAGTAACAATAGTTTAATATACAAAGCGTCAGTAAGAAGATTAAAAACATTAAAATTTCAAATAAATTTTAACAATATCAAACTAACATTAATCATTAAAACTATGAAAGATTTAATGTTTTACACAATAATTCTTACAATATCTGAGAAAAAGACTCATCTGTTTCTCAAGTAATAAAAAACCTATATTATAAAAAATAGAAGGAAATGAAGAAATAGAAATAATAACTTCTCAATATTCATAATTAAATTATTGATATATCTATTATTTGTTTTTTTTTGTTATGAAATATTTAATGACTAAATTAGAGAGACTATTTGCTTTGTAAGACTTTTATAATTTTTCATATATTCTTTTAGAATTTATTATATCCTCTTTTTATTTGTAAGTTTACAAAATTCATTTGTACATATCCAAATAACTCGTTTTTAACTTTTGTCTAATGAATAAAACACACTATTAATAATTTTATTTATATGACGTTGTTGTTTATAAGACAGTATATTATTTAGTTTTTGATACTACAAAACATTTGAACAAATATAATAAAAAAAGATTTGTAGAATCTCTGTAGAAGTTAGTTATAATAATTACTTAATATTATCTATTCTAATTATCATTAAATAGAGTTGTTTTCAAAACTTTATAACTTATTAACTTGACTATAGGTAATTCAATTACTCTTCTTTAAAAGTCGTAAAAGTATATTTTAACATAATAATTATTGTTTTCCTAAATTCATTTCTCTTAACCCCCAACTTTATTTATTTTAAAAAGGAGATTTCTTTTCTTCTTTTTTTCTTTGTCATAAAGAGTTACTGAGAACTACCAGAGTATCCTTAAAACAAAACACAACATTGGAATATGAAATTGTTTTCACTCTGAAAAAATGAAACACTTTGAGAAATAACAAAAGATAAAAAATAAAAAAAAGGAAAAAGGAAAAAAAGAAATAAAATAACTAAATTTTCAGATGAATAGCGATTACCCTGCAACATTTCCTGAAAGATATGAAGTAAAAGATCCATTAATTCTTGAAGCTGACTCACAAATTGACCGAGAAAAAGTACAGCTTGTTTCGTGGTTAAATAAAGAATTATTAACCGATAAAAAGATAACACAAGAATATAAATATATGCCAATTAAAGAAGAAGGAAATGATTTTTTTTATGCATTGAGTGATGGAGTTATAGTTAAACATATAATTAATAAATTTTATAACCAATATAATATTGATGTTAAATATGGGAAGGCTGGACTTATTTCTAAGAATGCTAATATCACTAATGTCATTAAAATCGCTAATATTATTCTTTCAAAAGGAGTTACTATTAGTGAAAGTAATTTGTCTACTCCTAATAAAACTACAGCGTCATTAGTATTAGGATTTATTTGGATGTTATTTGATAAATTCCAAGAAAAAGATATTAAATTATCTATGAAAGAGAAAGGTGTTGATGTTTCTATGGAAGAATTTTTGTTGAATTGGGTTAATAAAGCACTTGAGGAAGAAGGAGTTGATAAAAGAATCAATAATTTCGGAAGTGATATTAAAGATTCAGAAGCATATCTTTATTTACTTCATCACCTAAATAATAATTGTTCATTAGAAGCATTAAATAGTTCTAATTTGATTGTTAGAGCTACAAGTTTCTGAAAAT